TCTTACAATTATATAAAGGCGTTCAAGCACCATACAGCTTGTGGGATAATAAACGCCGGATAAAATCTTTGTGGTCTCATAAAAAGATGTCAAAAATCGTTTAACTTTTAAAACTAAAATCTAATCGGATTCATTTAATATATTATCATTATCACTTCTAATATGTCTATTATTATAAAAATCAGTTATTAAATTTTCGAAACCTTCATATGATTTTAATAGCAAGTATGTAGAGTTCCATCTATGACTTACGTCGCTAATAAATGTTTTAGCAGTCATCACCCCTAGTTCGGCACAAAAATCTTCAAATGCTTGTTTTCTACTAGTAGAGATCGTAATATATACTAATGCATTCCTAATCCTTTGAAATTCATCCTTTATATGTTTTAAACCATCTTGCACAATTAAATTCAAGATATGACACACACAACGAATATGAAACAAATACCCACCAAAATCAAGTTGAAGTGTCCTACACAATTTATCGACGACTACCTTATTAACGCTAGCATTATCAAAAGTAAGAGATCGAATTTTACTCTCACAATGATATTCTCTAACAATACTGATAATAGTATTATATATATTATTAGCATTGTGAGGAAATTCAATAATTATAAAAGCAATAATTTTTTTATGCATGCACCAAAGTGGGTCTATATAGTGTGCGATTGCAGCTATATATGCTCTTTTATTAACTATTTTCCCATATATCAAAAGTTAAGGATATAACATCCCCATATTGTTGCAAATCCATAATTAATTGTTGTTTTGAATTATTGAAATAATTTATTGTATCGGTATGAAGAGTGTTCCGACTTACCCCAACGTACCTCGGTTGTAGATATTCTTTCACGAACGAGACGAAGTGTTGGTTGTCTGCAATAGCCAAAGGCAACTCAGTGGCGGCAACAAATTTCACCATTCCGGTTTGAGTCTTTCCTCCGAATACACCCATGTGAATAGGGGTGAAGTTGTAGAACCGGCGCCTGGACTGCCAAATTGTAATTGCGTTTAACCAACTAGAAGAAGTCCATGTTTCACGAGGTACCTTTCTTCTTGACACAGAAAGGGACACCGTATTGCAGTAGTCTGCTTCGCTAGACTACCTTCCGCCTTTTCTCGAGACGAAAGAAAATTTGATTGCAATTTTGTAGAAAGCTTACAATAGAGAATTTGAATACATTGAAAGTAAATTGAACATTGATTGATGAAAACTGAACATTAAAATTGATGAAAGCAGAAAATTACAAATGCTGGTGCAGGGGGCGGACACCAGTGAGCTTGAAAGATTTTTGAATGACTAATATCCCCTATAATAGCATTCTGAACAAAAACCCAAGTGACAGGAGTAGACGTTTAAAAGACGAGGAATCATACTAAACGTTTACCAATATCAGAGCTATTTTACAACTGAAATAACTATTACAATGAAAAGAAAATTACAACTCAAACTTGAAGTAATATTTACAATGTGCAGTCGAAGTTGGGCAAACTGCGGCTCCGATAGTGTCAAGGGGCTAAGTAAAGTTGCGGTCCTTGACATTCTCCCTCATTTGTTTTGACGACGTCCTCGGTGCCATCAATGCATGATATGCCTCAATTAATGATTTGAAGTCTCCGATATCTTTTCCTCTTTCCTAAGTATTCTCCTCGCTGCCGCATCCTATCCATTTAACCAATATAATCCTGATGATCTTTTCTAGAAGCTCGAGTGATTCGATGGTCAAGAATAGTTTCAGCAACCTTCTTTCCAGCTTTCTTCAGTTCAAATACAGGTCGCTTTGACTCATTTCTAGATGTGTCCTCTTTATCCGCAAAGTATGGCTTCAACACACTAACATGAAGGACCTTGTGGATTTTACACCATGAAGGGAGTTCAACTCTGTATGCAACTCTTCCAATCCTCTTCACGATGGGTAATGGTCCGATGTATGTTGGCGACAATCTTGAGTCTTTCCCTCTTGTTGGTTTGTAAACATTTCTGTCGGGCAGCTTAACCATTACCAGATCTCCAACATTGAATTCAATGAAACGACGCTTTAGTTCTGCAGCCTTTTTATACCGTTTTTAAGCTTTCTCAAGATAACTCTGAGCAATTTCAATATTTCGTTTCCACTCTTGAGAAAAGTTCTTTGCTTGAGGGGACTTGGTACTTCGTTCAATATCCACTGTATGAGGGAGTAGCGGTTGCTGGCCAGTAACAATCTCAAAAGGACTCTTATTGGTAGAAGAACTCTTTTGGGCATTGAAGCAAATTTGGGCCGCATGCAAAAGTTTTACCCAATTTTTCTGCGAAGTAGTATGCTTGAAGAAGAGTTGAGCTGTCTCTTCTGCAGATACATACTTAGGCGCTGCAATGAAAGTTGCATATTTTGATAGACGGTCCACCACGACAATGATAGTGCCAAAATCCTCAACTTTTGGCAGCCCAATAATGCAGTCCATCGATACACTTTCGAATGGCCGGGTTGGGACGGAAAGGGGCTCCAGCAAGCCTGCCTTTTTCTGATGATCTGCCTTATCTTGCTGACAAATAAGACAAGTTTTTACATATGTTGCAATGTCGTCCCGCATTTGAGGCCAGTAGTATGCACGTTGTAGTAGTGCACAAGTGCGTTCCTCTCTGGAATGCCCTGCCCAAATTGTGTCGTGGTATTCCGTAATTAGTGATTTCCTCAGATCTCCGCCCTTAGGAACATATAGGCGGTCTCCCTTTGTGTTCACTAGTTCCCCATCGAACTAGAACTGTCGAGTTTTACCCTGCTTGATAAGGTCGACCAAATATTGGGTAGCCGAGTCCTTCTCCATAAGTGCCCGAATTTGGTCTCTAGTGTTCATGGAGACTGCGCTCCCTAAAAGAGCAGCTATAGAGCAGATGGCAGCTAAATCGGCCCGTCGACTAAGAGCGTCAGCAACATGATTACTAGAGCCAGGACGATACTCTAACATAAAATTGAACTCTGAAAGGAATTCCTGCCAACAAGCCTGTTTGCTCGATAGTTTTGGTTGGGACATGAAGTGACTAACTGCAGTGTTATCTGTCTTCACAATAAATGGAGACCCAAGCAGATAGTGACGCCATCCTCTGAGACAATGGACAACTGCTAATAATTCCTTTTCATGTGCCGAGTAACGACATTCTGTCTGGTTTAACTTCCGGCTATCATATGCTACCGGATATCCTTCTTGCATGAGGACTCCACCAAGGGCAAAATCTGAAGCATCTGTATGAACTTCGAATGGTTTAGCCATATCCGGTAAGGCTAAAACCGGGTTCGTCCACTTGGACTTCTTCAACCTTTCAAAAGCAGCATGGCATTGGGATGACCAATCCCAATCCTTATCCTTCTTTGTCAATTCAGTAAGTGGTAGTGCAATTTCTGAGTAGCCTTTCACAAATCTTCGATAGTAATTGCATAACTCAAGAAATGAACGTACATCATGTGGTTGCCAATCTTTGATGGCTGTAACCTTCTTCGAATCCATGCGGATTTTACCTTGTTCAATGATGTGACCCAAGAAACTGATAGATGTCTGAGCAAATGAGCATTTAGACGACTTAGCATAAAGTTCATTCTCTCGTAGCTGATTAAAAACTTGCCTCACATGTTGAACATGTTCCTCCAATGTCTCGCTGTAGATTACTATGTCATCCAAGTACACCACGACAAAATCATCTAAGAACCCGTGAAGTATCTAATTCATCATAGTACAATATGTTGCTGGGGCGTTTGTGGAACCAAAAGGCATCACTTTAAATTCAAAGGCTCCATATCTGGTTACTACCGTAGTTTTTGCTTCGTCTGCCTCCTTGATTCGAACTTGCCAGTATCCGAACCTAAGATCAATTTTTGTGTAATACTTCGCCCGACTCAGTCGATCGAAACAATCCGCAACCAGCGGGATAGGATAGCTATTCTTTACAGTGATCTTGTTCAAGGCTCGATAGTCGCAGCACATTCTAAGAGAACCATCGACCTTTTTCTGAAACAATACAGGAGCTCCGTATGGCGACTTCACCGGCACAATGATTCCACTCTCCAGCATTTTCCCCAATTGCTTCCTAAGCTCTTCAAGCTCGGGTTGAGACATACGGTATGGTACCCTGGCGGGAGGTTTGGCGCCTGGAATGAGTTCAATCTCATGATCAATCGTCCTTCTTGGTGGTAATTTCTTTGGTAATTCTTCCGGCATGATATCCTCAAATTCCCGAATAAGCCTTTTAACGGGTTTTGGGATAGGACCATTTGCTTCTTCGATCTCCTCTAATCGAAGAGTGCACAAAAAAAAGGGTTCATTTCTCTTGAAACCCTTACTAAATTGCATGGCTGAGATACTCTTCTTGCCCATCCTCCCAACCTGTGTAGGGATGACACACGGCTTATTACCCATCATCATTAATGAATCGAAATATGGCAACACTACTGTCTTAGTATCCCGAAGAAATTCCAATCCTAGAATAAGCTTGAAATCATCCATCTGAACTGCAGATAAATTTCTCCTTCCCTCGAAAGGACCTGCTTTGATCAACACCGATTTCGCCACTCTAGCTATTGGTTAAGCAGCGGAGTTGATTGCTTTGACTTTTCCACTACCCTTTTCTAGAACAAGTTCGAGCCGCTTTACTTCGGTACATGCAAGGTAGTTGTGGGTAGCACCTGTATCCACCATAGCCCTGATTGGCTTCCCATTGATTTTTACATCAATGTACATTAAGCCTTTGGCCCTACAAATTCGAGCCTTCGCTTCTTCCATCTTTGCGTCTTTCAATGGGACATCATCCTTTTCAGCAACCCGATGCGACAGTGTGTTGCATCGATATGAAAATGTCCCAACTACTTCCTCATCCTCTTCAGAGTCAGTCTCACTATGACAATTAGCCTGTGGGGCCTCTTGCTTTGAACTTGGCCCGCCACTTGCTAACTGACAATATGCATTTACCATCCGCTTTTGAGGACAATCCGACACCCGATGAGGTCTGTCACATAAAAAGCACTTCAATTTGGGAGTGGCATCAGTTCGGCCCTCTGTTGCTTTTCCTTGTTCCAGTTGTTACTGTTGCTACCGTTAAAATTTCCTTGACGGCTATTATGATAGTTTCCCTGAAAGCCACGGGTGCTTTGATAGGCTC